GAAAATATCATAGAAGAAAGAAGTACCCAAGGATATAAAACTTGTTAATTGAATCCAATGAGAATATACTCCACAAGACTATATGAACAACATAAATATTACCAAGATCAATTCATTGAAGTTCTACAAACTTTGCAAGTGTAGAAAAATCACCAACAAGTTCCAAAAACATATAATATGTCAATTGTTTAGATTTTAGATAACAAATCAATTATATCACATATCCTTATAAATTAAACAATCAATATGTGCAAAAGACCCATTTTGTATACTCTTTTATGCTTCCTTTTTCTTTTTGCACATATGGCGGCTTTCACGATTATGGGCAGCCAGCTCTTTCCATTATTCTCATTTATTTCAAGTCAAGGTAGTTTTGGACAAATCCCAAAGGTAACCTTTTCTAACTCTATCAGATCAGAATTGGAGTATAATTGAAGATTCAAAGATTTTAAGAAGCAGGATTTTAATTGTTCTTTATCAAATTCAGAATTAAAGGCGATTCGATCATAGTTTGAAGGGGTCAAAACATTTGTGGAGTGTTGTTTGATCTACTAGCAATCCCTCGATAAAGATCAAGAGTAAGCCTAAGGTCGAGAGCTGTTGGACAGGGGAGTCGCAAAGTCAGGGATTGTCAGCAATTGGTTTTTAATAGAACGATAAGATGTGAGTTTGAGTCAAAATTCAGTGTATTTTGCTTCAAGTATAGTGGATCGTTTTGCCCTGGACAACATAGTTCACGAGGTTTTTTTCATAACAATTGGTTAATTTCCACTGGTCGAGGATTCCTCGCTAAAATTCCGGTGTCATATTTCAAATTTTATTTACTTTTCTTGCACTTTATTTTTACTTTGTGGGTTTGATTTTAGTTATATTTCAAAAAAAATTAAGATAAGTATAAATTAGTTAAAGAAGCAAATAAAACCTATTCACCACCATCTAGGTTATTTTTAATACAAACTTCCACTTCTCCTCAAGTCACACCGGATGCTTAGGAAATAATTGGAGTTTGAAATCAAAGCGCTTCGTGACATTCTGGCACTTTGTATTTGTAATATTCAATTCCTTGTAAAATTCTACCAACGCTTCTTCAATGATAACACAGAGCAAATTCTACATAAATTATTACTAGTGAAAATTAAATAAATAAAAAAACAAAACAAAAACCATTAGGCTGCCTGTAGAGGATCATACAGTCTCAAAACGATTGAATTTTTCAAAAATGTCCATAAAAGGCACTCTTTTTAAGTCCCGGTGAAATGGGTTCTTAGACATTTGGACTCAGTATTATTGGGTTAACTGGGTTTAGTGAGAGAAACAAAGAAGGAAATGAGAGAAAAAAATAATTCAGTCTTTTGTATGCAAGAGTTTAATCCATATGTAACCTTTTCAACTAAAAAAAGAAAGTTTCATCCACTAATGATTGCAAAAGAACTTCAAACCAATCCTTGAGTCTTCATAACGATTGCAAAAGAACTTCAAACCAATCCTTGAGTCTTCATAACCATCTCTGTGGACTTGCAGAGAAGCAACAACATTAATACAAGTGTACATGTAAAACTATATGTATAATTTTATATATAGAAATGTTGTCAGAGGCTAAAAGGGTCAAGCCATATGTGTCCCCACCCTAACCTCCTAGATTCCAATTACTTTCCCTCAAAGCTCCACTGACTCGTAACTCTCTAACCATTACTAAGTAAAAATTAAAAATTGTAAAATGGGATTGCCATTGTTAAACAGGAAAAAAAAAAAAAAAAAAAAAAAAAAGTATTTAGACCTATTAAAATTTATAGGATTCTTTTACATTTTTTGTAAAAGTAAAACTTTATGATAATTTTATAAATAAATAAAATAAATAAAAATAAAAAACTAAAGGAGATATGTTATGAATTATGATTAGAGAGAAAAATATATAAAGAACAAAAGAGAGATATGGGATGCAAAATATTGCTCCACTTTTATTGGAATTCACTTTTTTTCTAACACATGCATATTTATAAGCTGTGTTTTCACAGATACAACCCTTTTACATTAGACTATTACTATTATCTTCTCTATTCCCAACCCACACCTATACACGCGTCATCTTTTTTTCTCTTTTGACATGCACACACTCATATATTTCAAGCAAAGCCTTATTATGAGGACCCCACATTTATTACAACAAGATTTTTATTTTTCATTTTTTTCCCGGTAAGTGAATAAATATTTCTTTTTCTACATGCAATTCCAAATATTTAACAGGGTGTTCGGTGTCAATCCCTAACAAATACTACAACGAAATACCACTGGAGGTGGCCCAAAATAATCCTTGTGATCATGCAATAAGTAACAAATGAAATTTTGAAGGACTATCTTATGCGACAAATCCTTTGTATCACATACTTACTTCAATTCTTTCTCTCTCTAGAGTTGTATAGCCTTACATATACATATATATAAACATACAAACATGCAAATAAAGAATTAAGAACACAAAATGGTTCAAGTCACCCTGAACTGGTTCATGTGGTAATGACTTTTTTCAAAAATCAATTCTGGCTAACTTGCACTGGTTCAAGAAATCCTAAACCGGTTCAAGTCCCTCAAACCAATATAGTAACTTGTTTTCTTGGTCGGTTTTAGCTTTCTCTTTTGGGTAGACTTTTTCTATATTGATCATACACGAAATTTACTTGTTTCCAAGTTCAATTAGGTTTTCAAAGGTCTATTAAAACATGTTTTCTAACTTAGGGTTTCACGACTTTTGCATACAAAATTCTTTAACTCTTTTGAGAGCCTTTGAGAGATATTTTTGTACAGAAAATCAATCTTGATTTTTCTGATTTTATTTTTAAGAGCACACATATAAACACAAGAGTGATTTAGGGGTGATGTTCTCTATCAGATCGGAATTGGAGCATAATTGAAGATTCAAAGATTCTGAGAAGCAAGATTTTAATTGTTCTTCATCAAATTCAGAATTAAAGGTGATTCGATCACAGTTTAAAGGGGTCAAAGCATTTGTGGAGTATTGTTTGATCTACCCGCAATCCTTCTACAGAGATCATAAGTAAGCCTAAGGTCGAGTGCTGTTCAACGGGGGAGTCACAAAGTCAGCAATTGTCAGCAATTGATTTTTGCTAGAATAATAAGATGTGAGTCTGAGTCAAAGTTCAGTATACTTTGCTTCAAGCATAGTGGATCGGTTTGCTCTGGACAACATAGTCCACGAGGTTTTTCCCATAACAATTGATTAATTTCCACTGGTCGGGGATTCCTCGCTAAAAATTCCGGTGTTAACTTTCAAACTCTATTTACTTTACTTGCATATTATTTTTACTTTGTGGATTTGATTTTAGTTTTATTTTGAAAAAATTAAGATAAGTCAAAATTGGTTAAAGGAGTAAGTAAAACCTATTTTCCATCATCTAGGTTATTTTTAATACAAACTTCCACATCTGCACAACACACACTGAATGCTTAGGAAATATTTGGAGCTTGAAATCAAAGCGCTTTGCGTCATTCTGGCACTTGCATCTGTAATATTCAATTCCTTGTAAAAATCTACCAACTTTTCTTCAATGATAACATAGAGCAAATTCTATATAATTACTAGTGAAAAATAAGTAAATAAAAACAAACAAAACAAAAACCATTAGGCCCAATAACGCTTGCACAGGATCATACGGTCTCAAAACGATTGAATTTTTCAAAAATGTCCATAAAAGGCACTGTTTTTAAGTCCTGGTGAAATGGGTTCTTAGACATTTGGACTCAGTATTATTGGGCTAATTGGGTTTAGTGAGAGAAACAAATAGGAAATGAGAGAAAAAAATAATTCAGTCTTTTGTATGCAAGAGTTTAATCCATATGTTACCCTTTTAACTAAAAAAAGTTTCATCCACATATGGTTGCGAAAGAACTTCAAACCAATCCTTGAGTCTTCGTAACCATCTTTGCAGACAAGCAAAGAAGCAGCAACATTAATACAAGTGTCCATATAAAACTATGTATATGTATAATTGTATGTATAAAAATGTTTTCGAAAGGGGGTCAAGTCATAAGTGTCCCCACCCTATGCTCCTATCAAAGCTCCACTAACTTATAATTCTCCATCCATTGCCAAGTAAAAATTAAAAATTGTAAAATGGGATTGCCATTGTACAAAAAAAATTAAAAAAGAAAAAAAAGAAAAGAAAAAAAAGGAGGAGGTATTTAGACATATTAATATTTATTTGATTCTTTCACCTTTTTGGTAAAAGTAAAACTTTATGATAATTTTATAAATAAATAAAAATAATAAACTAAAGGAGATATGTTATGATTAGAGAGAAAAATATATAAAGAACACAAGACAGATATGGGATTCAAAATATTGCTAAGCTTTTATTGGAATTCACTTATTTTCTCAATGCTCTTCTCATCACAACACAATCATATTTATAACCGTGTTTTCACTGACACAACCCATTTACATTAGACTATTACTATTCTCTTCTCTATTCACAACCCACACCTAACAAACGTAAGTCGTGTTTTTTTTCTCTTTTGACATGCATACACTCATATATTTCAAAAACTGCCTTTATTATGAAGACCCCACATCTATTACAACAAGATTTTTATTTTTAATTTTTTTCCGGGTAAGTGAATATATATTTCTTTTTCTACATGCAACTCCAAATATTTAACTGGGTGTTTGGTGTCAATCCCTTTCGGTGGTCAATTGGTAAATTCCTTCAATATCAATGCAATAAGACGACTTTTGATGAAATATGCATCTCTGACATAAACTACAACGAAATATCACTGGAGGTGGCCCAAAATGATCCTTGTGATCATGCATTAATTCACAAATGGAATTTTGAACGACTGTCTTATGCGACAAATCCTCTGCATCACATACTTCAATTCTTTCTCTCTCCAGAGTTGTATAGCCTTACATATACATATATATAAACATAAAAACATGCAAATAAAGAATTAAGAACACAAAAAACAACACTAACAAATATAACATGGCCGGGAAAAATACACTCGTCATTGTCTTTACAGTTCTTCTCAACATTTTCACTACCACTGCCATCCCCATCCCCGGCCCCGTCCCCGTCCCCATCCCCGTCGGCAGCCGCGTCCCCGATAACATTCCACCCATACCGGCAGAGAAGGCCCAAGTAGAGAGTTGGTTTCAGACCAATGTGAAACCGTATAAGGAGCGGATGACCGGTTTGGACCCTGCCCTTGTGAAGGCAGAAAACAATCCCAAATTGATAAAGGTGGGTAAAGGTGGGGAATTCAAGTCGGTGATGGATGCAATTAAGAGAATCCCAGATGGGAATACTCAACGAGTGGTCATCTCAATTGCACCCGGAATCTATAACGAGAAAATCATCATTGATAAAAAGAAGCCGTTTGTCACTTTGTTAGCTAGTGATCCAAAGAATATGCCAACTTTGGTTTTTGGTGATACAGGAAAAGCGAAAGGAACTATGACGAGTGCTAGTGTGATAGTTGAGTCTGATTACTTCCGTGCTATGGATATAAATTTTAGGGAAAATTACATATAAATGGAATTAAAGTTCCATATTTACTTAGAGGCTGAGTCAAAGTTCCATATTCCTCTGAAATGGATTGCTGAGGTGGCACATGGTTTTTTACTGTTTAGAAATTGTGGTGCCTAAAATACCCTTCCGCGAAGGTACTACTTTTTCTTCGAAGGTACTACTTTTTTGAACTGAAGGTACTACTTTTTGGCGTCCAGGTACCATGTTTTTTAAACACCCGCGAAGGTACTACTTTTTCTCCGAAGGTACTACTTTTTTGAACTGAAGGTACTACTTTTTTGAACTGAAGGTACTAACTTTTTGTTAGGGAAGGACATTTTAGGCACCACAATTTTTTAAACAGTAAAAAACCATGTGCCATATCAGCAATCCATTTTAGAGAAATATGGAACTTTGACTCAGTCTCTAAGTAAATATGGAACTTTGACTCCATTTATATGTAATTTTCTCTAAATTTTAAGGTTCGTATATATACACACACATACACGGTGTGTTGTCTTCTTCTTCTTCTTCTTTTCTTCATCATTCTACATACATGTGTGTTGTTGTTTCAGAATTCGGGACCAAGGCCGAGTCCCGGACAGCAGGCACAGGCCTTGGCATTGAGAATCTCCGGCGACAAGGCCTCATTCTATAACTGCAGATTCCTTGGATATCAAGACACCCTTTGTGATGACAAAGGCAGGCATTTCTTTAAGAACTGCTACATTGAAGGCATTTGTGATTTCATCTTTGGCACAGGAAAATCTCTATATGTGGTTAGTATCAAGAATTAATCTCTAACAGTGACCGATTAATAATAATAAATAATAATGATAATTCATTTGAATTTTCAAAAAGAAAATTAATTAATATAAGTGACCACGGATTTTATTTAAATCATTGCAACACCGGGACTAACACTTGTTCTATGGTTAGATAACTAAATTTTAATTTTTTTTCTAGAATTAAAGATATGCACATCCATTGATTTTCTCTTAATAAATTAACAATGTAATTGATGTTTTGATGTAGAACACACAAATACATGTGATACCCTACCCTCAGGCATTTATCACGGCACATGGAAGACAGAGTGCTACGGAAGATACTGGTTTCTCATTTGTTCATTGCAGAATTACTGGCACAGGCAGAACCGCTGACTTAGGCAGAGCTTGGAAGCCTTTCGCCAAGGTAGCTTTTGCTTATACTGAAATGAGCGATGCGATCAGGCCTGTCGGATGGAATAACAAAAATGAAAGGTGAGTCATCATCCATGTTCAGTTATATATACATTAATTATTAATATACATATGTAATTTCTCTATCAATTATCAGTTTAACAATTCTGGGACCAATTATTTCTAGCTATATTGTTAGTGGGTAAGATTGATCAGGGTTGTTTATTATTGTATAACATGAAGCATTATACAATGGAAAACTAGGTTCCTGTATATAATTTACATGCGTATTTCTATTGGTACTAATGAAAAGGTAATAATGGATTTAATTGCAGGACGGCTACTTTCTTAGAATAAAAAGAACACAGGTCCAGGGTCTAATCCCGGTGGCAGAGTTAAATTCTCGAGACAGCTAAGTGAAACAGACGTTAAACCCTATATCAGCCTTGCCTCTATAGAAGGTTCCAAGTGGCTTCTTCCTCCTCATAGAGCTTAAAATCTATTGCTAAAATAGGCTGACTGACGCGGATGGAAGGGAGGGAAGAAGGAAAATATAGAATAAGAAGTCAAAACCAAGAGAAGGAGTTGGATAAGTAAAGATGTAAGCTTTGTAACATCATTATCGAAATATAATTGAATTTCAAAGTTATAAAAGTTACATTCTTATCTTCCACTAACCACACATATATATATATATATAGATATATATGCATGTATGCGCATGTAACTCTTCATCTTATATTCCACATTAAAGATGTTTCAACGTACTCCCAACTTTTAAAACAAAATAATACATTATTAAATGAACTACAAATTATAGGGATCAAATTAAATACAAATTAAATATAAATATAAATAGTTGGGAACTCAAATCTAGAAATGGAAACCAATTCTCATGACAGCTTTTGATATTCCAATTACCCATATAAGCATCTGCATGGCGTTGATGTGGCTACCATATTGACAATGCATCATCCTCCCTAGGTGAGAAAGAACTCGTTCAGGAGTTTGAAACCATTAATCACAATTAATTAAAAATCTTAGTATAGTTTTCCACCCCTTCTTTTTTTCTTTTAGTTCCCAAATCTTCAAACGCCAACCAATGCTTAGACTAGTATTTTTGCACAACTCCCACTGGTAAAAATTTAAGTGAAGTCTTACTTGGAATGACATCATTAAACTTGTATAAAAGGGAGTTCATCAAGTTGGACTTCATGCTTTCCTTTACTTTTCAACATTTATATTGTTGCCACCATGTTCCCATAGCTACCTTCATTTTGAGATTCTTCTTTTGTACTTTAAATATCAAAGGTCGCTAATTGATCCAAATCCATGACTGTTTCATATGATTTCATGCATGATTCTTCAACAAACATTGGAAGCTTACTCCAATCAATGGATGATTCTCTAAATCACGATTGAATATTTCCATCCGTGACTCCTCACAATGGTTGAAAATGTTCTCATCGAACTCATCCATAGAAGACCCATGACATTATCTTGTTGGAGTTGGTGGGCAAATGAACACAAATGGGATACACTAACATATATTCAACTGAATTAGTAAACACACAATTCAGAAACACTCACTTTTATAAAGTTGAATTCTTTATCTTGTATTACTCAATTGTTTTTTGTGTTAAAATACACTTGCATGACTCACCTATTTATATTATTCAATTGATACTTCTAGTACATGAATTTAATACATGCAATGAACCACACAATAAACCAAAATATTTCATATAGTATCACTAGGTCTTTTTAGATGAATATAGACAAGTCTAGACTAATCTTCCAACATCCCCTCTTAAGCTAGACTTGTGCAACTCCAAGTTTCTCCTTCAATTTGATAAAACTTTTTAACTTCAATGCTTTTGTAAAAATGTCTGCAATTTGATCTTCGATTTTGCAGTGTTTGATGATAATTTCTCTATCTTTAACCAAATCTCTAATGAAGTGATACTTGATTCTAATATGCTTGCTTCTGCCATGAAAAATTGGATTCTTGCTAAGTGCAATTGTTGAATTATTATCATAAAATAGAACAGTATCTTTCACCTGAAAATACTTCAAACCTTCTAATACCCATTTCAACTATAGTGCTTGGCAACCAGCTGTGGACAGAGCAATATTGTAACGTTTCCAATTTTCAGCCTTTTCCATTTTTCCGGAATTCTCGTCGCCGCAAGGGCATTTTTGTCTTTTCACAATTTGCATATGGTGTTGTGGTTGGGCCCAATTACAGTTGTGCGTTTTAAATTATATGGATTGTGTATCATTTAAGTGATAGTGCATATGTATGTGTATATGGTCCAAATTAAGGCAAATGGGAATGTGGAAAAGTCAAAAGCTGGTGGTGGGACCCACCACCCACTCACAAGTGGTCTAGAGACCACATCTTGAACCCATTTTTCTCCTATCTCCCGTAACTTCTCTTTCACCCTCAATTCTCTTCATTTTTCTTTTCTTTTGGTGAACCAAGCTTTGAAGCAAGATTTCTCTCTCATCTCTTATCGGATTAAGGTGCCGTTTGAGGCAAAACGAAGAGCACGACGAGCTATACGCACTAGTACCGGCAATTTCAGACTTTGAGCACCCTTTGGATTTCGAATTTGTGAACCCATTTTAAGGGTTTTGGTGCAATCTTGAGGTAGGGACGTCTTAATCCACTTCTTTCTTGTTCCATTGTGAGTTATACTTCTTTGTTGTGCCAAGCATGCTTAATTAGAAGTTAATTGCATCAATGATTATTTTAATGTTGTCTAGAGAAATCCATGTGTATGAATGTGAGTTGTTCTATGTGAAAAGTATGCTTAAACGTATTTTGTTGTATCTTAAGGTGTTAATAATTACTTGGGAGATGTTGAACATGTTGAATGTTTAATTTTATGGTGTAGAATTTTAAATGCCATGACATTGAGTGTATAGAACATATATACATGCACATACCATTGGGTTTGCATGAAATCGGAGAAATTGTTCTTGAAATAAATATGGGGAATTTCAGGGAATTGTTTTTGATGAAATGGTTTTATGCGAAACCCGATCGCTGCGAGGTTACCAACGGGCCGGAGGTTAATATAGCCTAGAAGGGACTAGGGAGTCGCCCTAGCGTGGTTGAGCTAGCTGGGTCCTATAATGACGCCGCGGGACTACCAAGGGTTAGGGATACTAGCCAATCCTCCTCTCGTGTCGCGGCGGGGTTACCAAAGGGCGGGCTGTATTAACAGTTTGGAAATGATGTTTTGGATTATGAAAATGGGGAGCGACACTAGCATGCATTGCATCTCATTGCATTGCATTGGATATACTTGAGATTGAATTGTTATGCTGTATTATTTCCCGACATTGTATGATCCCTATTTCCTATTGGCCTATGCTTTGTCTGGATTCACAAGGACACAAGATGTGTGTCTTAAGTGTCACCTGCTGAGCTTTATGCTCAGCCTACTACATATATCTTTTTTTCAGGTCTTGGGAAAAAACCGGTGGACGATAATCCACCTCAAGCTTAAGAGATGCTAGAAGATTACTTTTATTATTTTTGCAATTAGGCCATTCTTTTGCATAAGGAGCATTCTGAAAATGTAATTAAAGTTGTTCAAATGGCTTTGTAAATTAGAAATGGAACTTACTTTGTTGATGTAAATGAATTTGTTGAAGTTATTGTATATATTTGACTATATGTAATTTAATTAATTGAAGTTGTATTATGATCTCATGTTGGTATTCGAGTTCTTGATCTTGGAATGGAAGATTTTCAATCGTTTAATTCAAGCACGGACCATTTCCAAGCTTCCATTTCTATTTTCCTTCCCCTTCTATAGCACAGCAGGTTGGCATTTGGAATTCAGGCTCGGGATCTCCATTTCGGTAGACCAAAATGGTGCATCGGTTGACCGAAACAGTTGAGGGTGCTCTCGGGATCGACCGAAATGGTGCATCGGTTGACCGAAACAGTTGAGGGTGCTCTCGGGATCTTCATTTTGGTCGACCGAAATGAGGTTCGGTCGACCGAACCCCTCATACCCTCTCAGCATCTTCTCTTCAAACGTCCGAAACAGAGCTTCGGACGACCGAAGCTTTGGAGCTCATTTCGGACGGCCGAAGCTCTACTTCGGTCGACCGAAATGAGGCTGGTTGACCAATCTTCTCTTCTCTTCCCGGATTTTGTCACTTTGATCATATCAGTGTTCATGGGATCGTCTCCAAGTGTAATTCAAGCGTTGTGATGGTGTGTGATAAGCGCTGAATACTGTATATTCAAGTGCCCTAAATTACATTAACAAAGTCCAGTTATTAATTATTTTATGTAGATTAACTCCATTTGCATGTTTTTATGCATTTTCAGGTTAAAGTACAAAAAGGAAGCAAAAATGATGCCTTGTGGAATTTTGAACAAAAAGGATGCCATTTCTGAATTTCTGGCAGCAGTGATCCTGACTTTTGTTGCCATTTTCGACCTAGTAAACTCAAGAACTGGACTTCCATCATAACATGAAAAATTTAGATCTCTGAATCAGCTTTCCAAATCTTCAAGCAGTTCATCATTCGGAGTTCGGAGCAGAGAGTTATGATCTTCGTAACAGAGGTGCGCAGAACTGCCTGGCAGCACTGAAGTACTGCCTTTCTCCCCATTTTCGACCAAACATACTTGAGAATTGGGTCTTCATCAAAACATGAAGTTTTTAAAGCACTGAATCAGCTCTCCAAATCTTCAAACAGATCATCATTCGGAGTTTAGGGTACAAAGTTATAGCAGTTTTACCAAAGTAGGTCAGCGCTGAGCAAGAAGAGCATGTTGCACATTGCACTAATTTAGAGTGCTCGAGACCACTTTTCGAGTGCTCGAAAATCAGGCAGATTGCACTCGGAAATGGCTCAATTTCAGCCACTTGCACATTGGTTTCCTCAATGCCATCTTCCTTCTTTATGAAGTGGTTGGAGTTGTTCCTTGGAGGAGAGAGAGGGTTTTGTTGGAGAATAAAAAGCTACCAAAGGCCACACACTTCCTATCCTACATTTTTCTACAAGATTAGAGGAAAGAGAAGAGAGCAAAAGAGGTGTTCTTCAAGCTCCAAGAAGGTTGCACGAAAATGGCCATGAAGATGGAATTTCTTCCTTCTTCTAGCTTAGCAATGGGTAACTAACTCTTTCTCTAGGGAGGTGATGAAGTCCCACCCTTGTAAGCATATCCTAGGGT